CTTTGGGGTTGCGGGGCCGGGGCTGGGGGAGTGCTGGAGGGGCTGGAGAGGGGCTGGAGAGGGGCTGGAGAGGGGAGGGGCTGGAGAGGGCTGAGAGGGGCTGGAAAGGGGCTGGAGAGGGCCTGGAGAGGGGCTGGAGAGGGGCTAGAGAGGGGAGGGGCTGGAGAGGGGGCTGGAGTGGAGAGGGGCTGGAGAGGGGCTGCACCGACATCGACATCAAAGTCGTCCTCGCCACCACTCCACTGTGGAAAACAGTCCGTTCGATATGCGTGGCGGCGTCACTCCGGCAACCCGCTACAAACCTTACAACCTTACAAATTAAGATAAGGTTACTCCAGCCGCTAAAACCTAAAGCCACCAACACCCATCAATCAAGTCTTGCAACCCTGGACCATGGACAGATAGACGAAAAGACGCAGCAGCAGAAGCGCTGTCATGATCACGCAAAACTTTGTCGCTGTGAAAAATGCTGTTTGTCGTTGTTGCGGTTCTCTTGTTGTGGTTGTCAGCTGGTCTCCAAGACAAGCGGCAGGCGGACGAAGCGAACTGCTGCGCTTTCCTGACACGCCATGGCTCTCTCCCCATGTTCAAGTAACCGTCCAAGTACAAGAGACGAAACATGGAAGACCAGAACGTGCGGTCACTGAGCTCGTAGCCATCGAGAAATCTGGCGATTGCGATTTCTGTTCCTCTTTCTTGGGGAGTCCTGCTCCATGCAGCTCCGGTGGATGCATAAAGTGCAGCTAAGCCCGTATACCCGCTCATAGATGCTCCCCATCGTCCTTCACGAGAGCCAGGTTCTCGGCGGGCTGGCCCTGCTCGTGTCCTTGGATCCAACTTGGAGCGCTCGGAGTGTTACCGCCGTAAACCGCCGTAATGTGACGCATCGTAGAATGACCCATTACCAGCATGTGGAAATTAACCGTCCCTGAAGTAACCAGAAGGACAGATGTTGGCACAGCTACGGGCGTAGAGCTCTGCAGACAGCTGCTCCGTCGACAGATGGCTCAGCCATTTCCTAGGCAAAGGAAACAAAAACTCGACAGCCTGCAAAATAAGCGCAGTACGGCCGAAGGGTTGCAATGGGTCTTGAACCATCAACCAAGAATCTTGAACACTGCCTTGTCCAAGCCCTTCGCAGGATCGATGCCTGTCCCAGGTGCTGTGGCCAGCGGTCCGCTCAGTCTCCGGCCCCCCACTTTGCCCATCAGTTGGGGGGGGAGGTCCACAAGCCTGCGGCTCCAGCACGCCTTTTATGTAGAAAGACAAGGTCTCCTGTACAATATACACCGGAACCATGCATCGCATTTCGCTCACATCAATTCTTCTACTGGATGTACTTTAAGAGCGTCCTCCAAAGACAGGGTGCCGGAAGCATCATAGTCCCAGGCGTCAAATAGCTCATCCAGGAGCTCCTTCCATTTCCATGCTAGATCATATTAGTTGATAGGCGCACACAAGCTTACATGGACGACATTGACATAAACTTGGATCGCCGTGAGTCAGAGGCACCAACTGTTCATTGTGCTGGACACACTCCTTTTACAAACAAGAGAATATCAGGGACCAACAACGGAAATTACAACCTCAAACTACACGCAGCGCCCGACTCCATATATACCGCTGCTGGCGCGTTGCGCCTCCCGGTTCTTCTCTACATCTTCGAAGGTCTTCTTCTGAGCCACAGGAAGGGCAGAAAGCTGAGGCTCGGAAGCTTCAATACTGCCGTCAGTTACAACCATCACCACCGCCGCCGCAGCCAACAACATTGTCGAACCCCACCTTTCCGTTTGGAGTCCACAGGAATGCTAGACTCCCCACCCCGACACCTGAGTCCTCAAACTATAAACCCAACTAGTACCCCCACATCCGTAGTGTCGGCGCGGGCCCTGAAACACTCGCCTCGACCTTGGCCTACACAGTGTCCGTGCGCCCTGAAAAACCTGCCTCTACCTTGGCCTTCTTCCCTGCCAGCTCTGCCATGGGTCAGCGATCCTCGACACTGACTTGGTTCGCGGCTTGTGTTGATAGCTTCGCTGCATCCAACTTAGGATCATCATTAGGACATCGCAAGCGTTCATTCTCGGGTAAAAGAACGGGAGCCCAGCAGCTGCTGTTGCGGTTGCTGTGATTGTTGTGGCGGCTGGGCGTTTGTTGTGTTTGTGGTGACGGCTGTTGTGCTGTTTTTGGCAAAGCTAGGGGTTGTAGTCTCTCAGGCTAATCGCCTGGATGCAATTGCAGGGAGGGGGGATTGGGAGGGCTCGTCATCGGCTCAACCCTCAACCCTAAACCCTCAATCCTTAACCCTTTACCCTCAAGCCTGAACCTTCAGCCCTTGAAGCCACAAAACACCCCTGTTGCATATCTGTATGAGGTTACACCCCCCCCTTCTTAACCCTCGGGAAAAAGCCCCACCCCCCAAACCCTACAACCACAAACTAGTTCAGCCGGACCCGCCTTGACTTTCAGTTGAAGATCCCACCAAAGACCTGCAAGTCGCCAGCTTGCAAGGAGGCCACCTAGGACTGTCGCGGTGAAAAAACGCAGTGAACTGCTATCTTGCTGAGGGGCTTGCATCTCTGTACGGGATCCGCGCCTGCGGGTTTTGGCAAACCAGCGGCTGAGGTTTGCGTTGCAGGCATGTCGGTTTCTGCAACTTCCTGTTTGTGCCGGCGTGCCAGCACTGAAACCTGAGGCCACTGGCCGTGTCCCCTTCCTCGGCACTGGAAGCCTCACGTCCACGGCCTGGCAGTGGAAGGAAGGTTTGGGTTGCGTCAAGAATCCTCACGTCACCTAAGTCCACTGCAACGGCAACATGGGTGCCATCACGCAACGCCCTCCACAAATCGAATTCAGGGCCTCCCGAAGCTTGAGCTAGTCAAAGCCAGGAGTAACCTCAAAACCTTCACCTCTAACCTCAAAGCCCCCCGTCCCCCCAAAATGCACCTCAAACGTAACCCTTGAACACTATACCCTAACGGCCCTACAACGCTCATTCCCCCCCCCGCCCAACGCACCGCCACCGCAGCATCAGCAGGCCCTGCGTAAGTATTCGAATTTGCTGAAGCCTAAGGCTTTGTGTATAGGGCTTAGGATCGATTTGTGTCTCGAGAGTTCTTGGGGTAGGGGGCAGTTACCGTAAATCTGTGCGCAAGCAGTGTTACAACGACATGTTTCGAGCTCCAGGTTGATGCAGGAGCCATGCTCCATTTGGGAAGTGTAGCTCGAAACATGGTTGTTTTGACAGTTTGGACGGTCTTTGACTGAAGTCACATTTCTCACCACAAAGTTCTGTCTTTCATGTTCATAAACTGAAGCGAAGGACATTACACCAAAAAGCCAAGACCCACGCTTTAGGGTTTAGGGCGAAGGCAGCAATGAACCGTTCTCCTTCCAGCTGTTTACTGAAAATGCCGTCGAAGTGGGCCGTCTCTGGGCTCAGCAGGCCCTGCAAAGCGGGGATCTTGACAGCGATGGGGGATGATGGAGCTAAGGGCCTAGAAATGCCTAATTAATGACTATCTCGGTGACCCCTCGCAAACGGCCCGAGTTCTAGGGAACATCCTTGAAATCGGTCGGAGTTTAAGTTCAGGCTGGGAAAACAACGGCGTCGAAGTTAGCAGCATTATCCCACTATCCCACTGGTCCACCTCCAGCCAGCTGTAGGGATTGCCCTGGCAGGACCAAGAGCCAGCACACCAGCAACAACTCCTACCATGAGTCTTGACCTGAAGAGTCAGAGTGTTGCAGATGCTGGAGAGGGAGAGGGGCAGAGGGGCTGGAGAGGGGGGGGTGGAGGGGGTGGAGGCTGGAGGGGGCTGGCTGGCGGGGCGTTGGGGCTGGTAAGTGGGCTGAGGGGGGGGCTGGCTGAAGGGTTTGGCTAATATTTTTGCACTGTGAAGGATGAAGGCTTATTGCACGAGCTGCTCGTAATGAAACATCTACAATTTTTGTTTATCCTGGCCTTGAGGGTTTAGGGTTTAGGGTTTAGGATTTAGGTTAGGGTTTAGGGTTTAGGGTTTAGGGTTTAGGGTTTAGGGTTTAGGGTTTAGGGTTTAGGGTTTAGGGTTTAGGGTTTAGGGTTTAGGGTTTAGGGTTTGGGGTTTGGGGCTTAGGGCTTAGGGTTGAGGGTTGAGGGTTGAGGGTTTCGAGTCTAGGGACCGGGAGTGGTGTGTGGGGCTTTGGCCGTATCAGGGCTTTGGGTTTCTGACCATATCATTGTGCAGTTCGCGAACCCCCAAGAGCCCTGAATCGTCAACTGCTCCTAAACCCTAAACCCTAAACCCTAAACCCTAAACCCTAAACCCTAAACCCTAATCTCGGGGCCTCAAGAGTTTTTTGTGTTTTTGTTGGGGGGGGGGGGGGGGGTTGAAAGTGGAACCTTTACCCGCACACATACCTAAACCCTAAACCCTAAACCCTAAAAGCCCCAAACCATAAACCCGAACCCAGAAACGGAACTTCCCTAAACCCTAAACCCTAAACCCTAAACCCTAAACCCTAAACCCTAAACCCTAAACCCTAAACCCTAAACCCTAAACCCTAAACCCTCGACCCTGATCTTGGATGGCCAATTAAGAACCCTCCTTGACAAATACACCGAAGTATGCTTAAACCCAATAAGGGGAATACAAATTATCCCAAGGGTTTAGGGTTTAGGGTTTAGGGTTTAGGGTTTAGGGTTTAGGGTTTAGGGTTTAGGTCTTATAGTGCAATTCTAAAGGGACCATAAGGGCATACTCTTCGTAATTATTTCGACCCCTATAGCAAGCCTAGGGTGTGGGGGTCTAGGGCAAGGGGGCTTCAGGGTTTGAGTTGCCGTCATCCCCTTTCCCCTAAACCCTCCATTCGGGTCTAGGGTTGAGCGTATAGGGTTCCGGGTTAAACCCTATTCGCATCGGGGTCTCTCATCGCAGTTTTTGTCCGAAACCCGAAACCCGAAACCCGAAACCCGACACCCGAAACCCTAAACCCTAAACCCTAAACCCTCATAGCCAGGCCTGGGTCAGACTTCAGGCTCCAGTACATGGCCGTTCTTTCCTGCGTCCGCGTGTCGCGCACCAGCCGTCGGGTGGCCACCTGCAAAGAGCGTGTTAGGGTTCTAGGGTTTAGGGCTTAGGGCTTAGGGCTTAGGGTTTAGGGTTTAGGGTTTAGGGTTTAGGGTTTAGGGTTGAGGGTTGAAGGTTCAGGGCTTCGGGGATTTTAGGCCTCAGGATTTAGGGCTTGGGGCTCCTCAAGTTTGGGGCTCCTCAAGCACGAAGACCTCAAGCCCAGGACACAAACAAAGTGTGTGAGCCCACGTGTGTCTTCGCGCACCACAGCAAGCAGAGGCCAAAATGCTCACTCAACTTGTGGGATGCTAAGCCTAAACCCTAAACCCTAGACCCTAAACCCTATACCAAGAACCAAGAACCCTGAACCCTAAACTCTGAACCCTAAACCCCACGCGACTTCTCTGGAACTTGGTGGCCTCGTGGCTTCGGCAGTTCTTGCAGAAGTGCAGAATCCTGGTCTCGTCCTGCGTCGGGTTTTGGAGCGCCCAACCCTGCAAACGATGCGAAACATGTGATTGAAGAATCATGACAGGTCAGAGTGGGTTTAGGGTTTAGGGTTTGGGGTTCAGGAAGTAGGGTTTAGGGTTTTAGGGTTTAGGGGTTTGGGAGTTTACTAATCACCAGACATGGCCTCCTCTTTCTGAGCTGCAGGGACAGGCGGCTTGCTCTGCAACAGGATGTTCGCCAGGCCTGCCCCAAAGCTTAATCGTCTCCCCTTCTAATATTTAAACCACCCCCTTAAAGCAAATATGCCCCCCCCCCCCCCCCCCCATATACTCGAACAAACGATAATGGGATTATTTAATTTTAGGGGGGGGGGTTAATATTTGGGGGAGGGGATTAAACAGCTAAAGCCAATCGGGACCTCAATGCTTACAGAGTACTGCAGTGCCTGAGGAAAGTCAACATCCCAATAGTCACAACCACAGGCTAATCTCCCCTTAGAACCTTAATGAACATGTTGTTTGTTAATATCCTCTTGGGTTTTATATCAACAAAAATGGAAAATTCTCTAGGGGGGATGTAGCAGGAAGTAGAATACTCACAAACAACGAACAGCAAATAGTCGTGGTGCTGTTAGTGAGTAGCAAGGACAAAGAATCGTTAACACAGTTCAATGCCCCTTGTCTCGGAATTTCGTCCCACCGAAACCCTAAACCCCCTAAACCCCCTAAACCCCCTAAACCCCCTAAACACCCTAAACACCCTAAACACCCTAAACCCTACCTGGACCGCGGTAGTAGCCGATTATTAACAGCTTCTTCTTGCAGTGCCAGAATTTTCCAGCTAGGAAGGAAATTTGCGGCACCGTGCAAAAGTTGCTGCTTTTGCATGAGTAAAGTGCCAAAAAAAGGCGTAAAGTGCCGCAAAAAAAAAACGTAGAGTGCCGTAAAATGGTGTGCTGTTTTTGTCAGTGCCGTGAATCTGCAGAAAAAAGAGCACTTTTCAGCAGTGCCAGAAATAAGCGTACACTAAGTTTTCCAGGTAAACCCTAAACCCTAAACCCTAAACCCTAAACCCTAAACCCTAAACCCTAAACCCTAAACCCTAAACCTCTGAGCATGGAGGGGGGATGAGGCCAGCAAGCCCTACATCCACAGTACGTGCTGCCTGGAAAGAGCCGGCCGTCCTCCGGCCATACTTTGGGCTCCTCCGGTTCGCAAAGGGACATCAGGACAAGGGGTTTAGGGTTTAGGGTTTAGGGTTTAGGGTTTAGGGTTTCGGGTTTAGGGCAAAACCAGACGAGGGGCGCTTCCGGCTTAAGATGTAGCAGGGCTGGAGGGAAAGTTTAAGCGTTTAGGGTTCGAGGTGTTCGGAGTTGGCGGGTTTGAGGGAATCTAAGAGTCAGGGTTGGGATAATATTAAAACCTTATATTGTTTATGCCTTATTGGGTTTAAGGACCCTTAAAAATCCAAAATGGTACCCCAACTATGACTAAGGGATCTAAGATTCAGGGTTCAGGGTTTCGAGACTGGATGGGATCCACACTGTGGGGCTGGACAGCTGTCAACTGCTTAAGCAGGGCGACTTGAGTCAACTAGCTCCTCAACCTCCTATTAGGGTTTAGGGTTTATAGGGTTTAGGGTTTAGGGTTTAGGGTTGCTCCCCAATCTCCTAATCCAAGAAACCTCAACAAAAACCCTTTAAAAGCACAACTCAAGACACGCGATCGCCACAGTCCCAAGAACTACAAACAGAATCAACAGCCCTAAATACCCCAATACCCACCCCCACCCTCAAACAATATATATATATATATACATACATTACATTAATAATATTCATAATTATATATATATATATATGTATATATTAATAATATTAATAATCATAAACATAACGATAAAATCTAACAGCCCTAACCGCCCTAAAATCCCAGATGCTCACATGGGGATTTACGAAAATAGGGGACCCCAATATAAGTCCCCAAATAGTAAGATTCCCGTATACTACGGACCCCAATAAGGTACCCCTAATTTCGGAAACCCTAAAGCCTAAACCCTAAACCCGAAACCCTAAACCCTAAACCTAGACCCTAATTCGGAAACCACCATATGGTCCTTGAGGCATCCTGACATCCTGAGCAACTCACAGAGTACCATCTGCAGATCGGGCGCAAGCTCACCTCGAACACTCTCCGGGGGTTTGGGGTTTTCGTGTGTTAGGGTTTAGGGTTTAGGGGTTAGGGTTGAGGGTTCCCGGGGTTAGGGTTTAGGGTTGAGGGTTTAAGGTTCTTGGGTTTAGGGTTTTTGGTTTAGGGTATCCGGTCCCACTGAAGGGTAGCGCGGGTTAAGCCTGCAGCCCGACAGTGAAAGCAAGAGTGATCATATCACCTGCCCTGAGTGTTTGCAGCACAACCATGAAACCCTAAACCCTAAACCCTAAACCCTAAACCCTAAACCCTAAACCCTAAACCCTAAACCCTAAACCCTAAACCCTAAACCCTAAACCCTAATCTGATGGGATGACGCGGTATTGATAAAGGCTCCGGCATTGAATTTCCTAAAGGCTCTGGTGTATCTGGGACATCAACAATCGACTCGGAACCCTAAACCCTCGACCCTAAACCCTAAACCCTAAACCCTCAACCCTTAACCCCTAACCCTGAGCCCCTGTTCCGTCTTGGGATCTTCTTCCTCGAGTTCACCGCCGGGCAGCTGCCACTAAAGGTCCATCCAGCTACGGATTTAGGGTTTAGGGTTTAGGGTTCAGGGCTGCAGAAGAAGACAACCGAGCATCCACTTTGATGAGATCATCGCGCTTGAGCTAGTTGCTTGGCCAATGCAGTCAGAGCACTTGCAGCTGTGAACGTTTCGCCACTGATGTCCTGTTCTGGGATGAATTTGGGAGGACCCCTTTACAATTTAGGCTCGCTGGCCGCAGTAGTTTCTAGGATTCTCAAGCCCAGGGAACTTTCGGATCCATGCCGTAGTTGCGGAAGCAACCCTAAACCCTAAACCCTAAACCCTAAACCCTAAACCCTAAACCCTAAACCCTAAACCCTAAATCCAAGGGGCAGACTGCGGGCCGGCTGACATCGTCCAAGCTCCATAGCTGTTCGTTAGCGCGCAATATTTGCGCAAGCGTGTAGAATTCTGTTTACATGAAGCACATAGACTAACCCTAAACCCTAAACCCCAAAGCCTAAACCCTAAACCCTAAACTCTAAACCCTAAACCCCAAACCCTGAACACTAAGGGAAAACGAACAAGTATGCAACCTCACTACGTCAGACCCTGTGCGCTGAACCCCAACATTCTCCCTGCTGTTGGTCAGTAGGGAATGAGGGAATTTGGGCCCTATATATAGCCTTTAAGGGATTATTTAGGGCCCTATATATACCCTTTAAGGAATTTTATATAGGGCCCTAGATATACCCTTTAAGGGATTCAAAAAATCCCTATATATACCTTTTGGGGGATTATACTCGGCCTAATTCCCTCATTCCCTGCTAACCAACAGTAAGTCTGGCAGAATTTCCGCCGGCCGGTCCACGAACTCCATGCGCAAACAGTGCAGGAAGATCCGAGGCACCAAAGCGCAGTCCTCCTCCTCTTGTTACAGGGGGTTTAGGGTTTAGGGTTTAGGGTTTAGGGTTTAGGGTTTAGGGTTTAGGGTCGATAACCAAGGTTCCCAAATACTCCCTACTACTCCCAAAGGCTACCTAAGCTTCCCGAAGACAAAAATGAATGAACAACGAAATGAAAACAAAGAATTCCTTGCGAACGGCCTCAACATAGTAAATGCACTGTTTCTGTTCGTTCAATCATATCCTCTTTCATTCACCCCAAACCTAAACCCTAAACCCGAAACTCGAAACCCTAAACCCTAAACTCCAAACCCTAAACCCTAAACTAACAAGGAGAATGTCCTGGATTCTTGGGGAGCACACCCTTTAGAGGGAACGGGGGTGGGGGAGTTAGGGCTTAGGGCTTAGGGTTTAGGGTTTAGGGCTTAGGGTTTAGGGTTTAGGGGCGGGACCTTGTAAGCCCAGGTCGCCCATCCTGACCCTCAGCTGCCATTTTCGCGACGCCAGTGCCGTCCGACTCTGTCGGGGTCGTTGACAAAATAATTGGACAGCATTCACATTTCGAGAGCCCCGATTGTCTGTGACACAGGGGCGACCTTGTGGCACGCGGCTTCAACGTTTAAGCCTACAATGGCGTAATGGGCAAGGTCTGTGAAAAGCTGGATGATGTGAATGGCACTGGGCAGGGGAGCGTTGCGCCCTAAACCCTAGACTCCCTAGACCCCCGAGACTCCCTAGACTCCCTAGACTCCCTAGACTAGGTCACAGCAAGCCGTAACCATGGCTGCCGTATAATGGCCTATGAAGGGTTGAAGGTTTAAGGTCCAGGTCTACTGGGGGATAGACTGGTTAGTAACTTGTGCTTCTCAGAAGATGCGCTTATCTACAGGTGCCTTGCGCAGTGTGATGCATTTTCGCATCTCTGGGCCCTGAAAGATCCAGTTTGGAGACCATGTGCCAGCGAGGGAACCTCTCTGCACGGAAGCTTGCTCGAGATTCCTCTCAAGAACTGGTGAGATGATTCCTGCAGAAGAAGGGCCCTCCTCAGCCCATCCCACGGGCCAAGTTCCATCCTTGGACCTTCTGCATGGACATGCCGTCAGGGCATTCTGGAGTTCATATGGTGTGGCACCATTCTGGAAAGTGGGCGTCACACGGTTATAACCAGCGGTGCGCAAGGGGATCCTGGTGAAGCGGCAGGGGTTCGTGAATCTGCGCGTATTGTGCAACTTGGGCTGGAGAGAGACGTCGCCGCCCGGAATTGCAAAAGCAACGACGAGGGGTTCACGGCATGAAGAAGGCGTACACGGGAAACTCCATACCATCCAAGGCCTGCCGCTCCCAGCGGCAGCCCAGCCCCAGCGGCTTGGCCGTCCGGGGGTGAACGGGCGCACGGCGCTGGTAGGTTTCGCCGGAGATGCAGATTGTGCCTTCTCCCCAGCTGGCCGGCTTCCCGTGCTTGAAGTGTTCCCTTAGCAGCTCTATAGCACCACAGCTGGGCTTAAGCCAGGGCATCGGAAACCCATCGCGTCTTCCCTCCTATCCAAGACTGGAGAGTCAAGTTTCATGCCCAGGAACCTCCACAAAAAGGGTTGGAGGGTCAACAACCAGACTTGTTGACCGTGCACGCGTGCAGGCTTGGGACTTTGGGCACAGGGTTCCACAGGCCTTAGTATGCTTAGGGGGAGTTGTAGGATGAGGGCTTCCAAAACAAAGAGAAAGAAGGGCCCTTACATGACTAAATGCTTCAAAGGCAGCCTTCTTGCCGCCGGAGGCTCTGCGGAAGGCCAAATTTTTCGGCATCTGCATCCGCAAGCTCAGAGGAGCCGGCCCCAAAATCCTCCACCCAAGCCTGAGCGGACCCTCCTCTACCACGGACGTTAGGGTCTAGGGTTTAGGGTTTATAGGGTTTAGGTGGTTGCACGTGCCACTCATGCTTGGGACCGTCCCTACGTTCTGTAGAGGCAACCTTTCGCTCAGTTGCAGGCCAAGCGTCTCTGTCGTAAATGTTCGACACGGCACAGCAGATGACCTCACCTGCCTGGTGGTGCTTGCGCACCTCCCTGAGCCAGTGGCAGCACCAGCCTTCACCAGGACTGCAACGGCTAAACGTATCAAGCCTCTCCACCCAACTATACTGATCGCCTGACCTGTGCAACTTCTGGGGAGTGTCACTTCTCTGTCCGAGCAGCACGGGTACGCTTTGCCAACTTCTGGCTCCTGACAAGTTTGATTCCGAGCATGTCACTTGCTGAGTGTCTTGCCCACCCGCCCGTAAAGACACGATTGAAGAGCCTGTCACTTCTGAGCCTCCGGCGAGGGAGGTGCTTCTGGAGTCCACCGTCGAGAGCCATTTGGCGTCACGGGCCTCCATTGGCGGCACGGGCACCCTGTCCCGGCCGCAGTCGCTGCTGGGGTGGCTCCAGTTGCCATTGTCGGCGCCGTGTCCAAACACAGGTTGCTCATCGAACCACACAGTCGCCGTGCCTGAACACCCTTAACTTACAAATGGGACGAAGTATGGCATGAGACAGTATACGGGAAAGGCAACGTGAGGTGGGGCTCCTCGGCCCTGAGCCTGCAAGGCGCCGGCACTTTTTTGAACTCCCCCTGCGACATGCGGCCGAGGGGCCGCCGTGGCTGGCACTCTTCAGCTCCTTCATCACGCGCTCGTAGGCCGCGCCCCCCGGGACGGACGCGCCGGCCGTGGGGAAGCAGCGGCGCATGTTATCGGAGCAGCTGTAGCTGTCGTAGTAGGTGAAAACCAGCCCGGTGCCCGCGGCAGCCTTGCACCGATCTGCGAAGCCCTCGTCTGCTCGGAGCTCCTCGGCTGCGAGATTCACCAGCCACCAGGCACACGTGGCCTCCACCGCTTCCAGCAGGAAGCTCCGGTCCGCCCGCAGCTCTTCGGACGCGAAGCTGAGGGCCGTGCCGTCCTCCTTCACCGCCGCCAGCACGAAGTCCCTGTCCTCCCTCAGCGCGTCGGCGGCGTGCTTGAATGCCCTGCCGCTCTGCTTCACCGCCGCCAGCACCACCTCCCGGTCCCCCCTCATCTCATCGGCGGCAAACTCGAGGGCCCAGCCGTCCTGCTCCACCGCCGCCCGCACCACCTCCCGGTCCCCCTTCAGCGCATCGGTGGCGAACTCGAGGGCCCAGCCGTCATGCTCCACGGCCGCCAGCACCACCTCCCGGTCCCCCTTCAGCGCATCGGCGGCGAACTGAAGGGCAGAGCCATCCCGCGCCACCGCCGCCAGCACCACCTCCCGATCGCCTCGCAGCGCACATGGGGCGTTTCGCAGGGCGCCATAAGCGACCGACGACGCCGGGCCTCCCCGGATCTCCTCGAGGAGCCGTCGGCGGGCCTCCAAATGTTGGCAGGGTCTGGGGATTGTTTCGCTCTCTCTCTCTCTCTCACTATCTCTCTGTATTTTCGAGGCTTTTGTGTCGCTGGGGATTGCCTTTCGATGATTTGGGGCCTCAGGCTGTCGGGTGTCGCCAGCCTCAGAAGCTGTTTTAGAGCAAGTAAGTAAGCCCGACCCTCACCCCCCTGCGAAAGAAGGGCTTCTGTAGGGTTCGGCTCCAGAACCCCAGAATGAAAGAGACGTCGCAGCCCGGCGCCTTGTCCGGATTCGATGCGCCGCAACCCATGGCGCCGACGATGCAAGCTTGGGCGAAACGGCAAAGTATGTATGGACTCTAGAGAAGACCTCAACTTGCAAGGAGAACAGAGCTTGTCCTGACCCTTAAGGAGGCTCCATAAAATAACATCCCCCAAACCCCCTCCCGCCCAAAGCCCCGAAGTCCACTCAGCACTGGGAGGAGAACTCGGGGCAAAATCCTGGGCTCACCTTAAGATATCCAAGTGCTCATCCTACAAGAAGGCCCACGCACCACAATCAAAAAAACTCCATGACCCCTTCTATATATCCTAAGCCCTAAACCCTACGCCGCTCTCCCTAAACCCTATACACCCTCGAACCCAAACCCTATGTAAACCCCCTAAACCCACCCCTAAACCCCTCTGTATAGACCTCGACCCTACCCCGATGCATGTCGAGCCGCGTATCGATCTGGGTTGTACTTCATGTCGCCCACCAACCTCGTAGCTCAGGGTTTAGGGTTTAGGGTTTAGGGTTTAGGGTTTAGGGTTTAGGGTTTAGGGTTTAGGGTTAGGGTTTAGGGTTTAGGGTTTAGGGTTTAGGGTTTAGGGTTTAGGGTTTAGGGTTTAGGGTTTAGGGTTTAGGGTTTAGGGTTTAGGGTTTAGGCCCTAAACCCTGGCCCTAAACCCTAAACTCAGGCATGAACTACAAGCCCCTGGGAAGCTCACACCCTTGCGCAGCAAGTGGCGGGTGGCCCAGAAACGCCATGTGCAGTCTGATCTGATGTGTTCGTCCTACAACAGGAGCTGCAGGGGTTCAGGGTTTAGGGTTTAGGGTTTAGGGTTTAGGGTCTAGGGTTTATAAATAGGGTTCAGTGGCCAGTAGAAAGGTGCAAAACTGCGGTTTCCGAGCCCAACCGACAAACAAAAGTGCAGGAAAAGGAACTACTTGGGCCCTAGACTCTACATGATTACCACTGACAACAAATTATGGCAGAATGTAGGGTAATACAATGCAATACAGCAATATGATAATCTCATGATCGTTTACAATCGCAATATCCTACGCCCGAAACACCCTACAACTAAGCCCCGAGTCGTTCGGCAGATCACTGCCTTCTCGCTGCTCCGACTTTAGGGCACGCTGAGTTCTGGATTGAATTTCACTTTTATTACGAGAAGTACATAGGCTTGTTATGGGGCGGGGGGGGTGGGGTACCCAAAGAAGCTTTGAACAACAGCTTTGTGTGAGTTGTTTTGGGTGTAGAGAAGGGACATGTTGCGTCCTTTGAGCCTAATCGCCGGTTCTTAATCGGGGCTTTGGGGAAAAGAATTCGGTACCTTATATCCCCAATCTTAAACTCAACAAGCTACGGTTCATGGATTATTGGGCTGCTTGTTTTGGAGTTCCTGCAAATCTCACTACTGGCCCTTTTTGGAGGGCCGCCTGGAAACTACTTTTGGCACTTGCATTGTCCCCTAGCCCGACGTAAGCCCTAGACCCTGAACCCAGGCTTCCTCGAGCAGCATATTTGGGCTTACGATGAAGGCCTTAGGGTGGAAGGTGGAGGGCCCAATCCTTGCGTCCTACATCGGCAGTCGGGGCAGAGATATCCGGCTGCGGTTAAGAAAAAGAAGCCTTAAACAGAAAATCAACATGATAGGCATTTACCGTACATCCACATCGTAGCAACTCAGGTCAGATTCCGTGAGGAGATGTCCTGTCAAGATCTTCAGTTGGACCAGGGTGAACCAGCGGTCACGGCCCCAGAATGCAAGCCGCCCAGTGGCCGGCACACAGTAATGCCTGCCGAGCCCATGCAGCACCAGCGTTTCGGGGGATGCGTCTGGGATGCAGCCAAACAGGGTTTAGGGTTGCCCTGTGTTGGCGGGCAGTTGCTGCCACCAGATCGACCCTGGGACAGCAGGCAATCCTCTTAATGAGTCTATGCCCCTCAGACGAAAGCCCTGAGCACGCCGACAAGGCTATGCGCAACCCTGACACTGTCAGTCCACAGAAGCCGCGCCTAAGAGCCGAATACCACGTCACGGCCGGAGAGCCCTGTGACTCTTTGCAGCCTGGGCGCCCCGCGGCCACACGGCACTAGGAGTACCGAAACATGCCCTAAACCCTTCACCCAAAGGTCATTGAAGGTCGGAGGCTTGGAGACAGTACAGGTAGCCTATTGCCGTGTGAGCCGGACTCGGGCGTATGCGCCTATCACTGATTTTGCAATATACATATAAAGAGATCTGGGAGTGTCACGGGGAGGTAGTTCTAGATGACTTAGATGATGTTTGATTCGGCCGTGGGGTTGAGGTCTGGGGCTTAGGGTTTATAATCTTGGTTGCAGGTACTCAAGGAAAGGGATTTCAGGAAGCACCGGCAATTCCTTCCACGTGGCAGGCAACACTCCCGAACTCGCGGCGGATAAAGTCCTTCAAACCCATGCCGTGCCATGGGCTTAGGGCTTAGGGTTTAGGGTTGAGGGTTTAGGGTTTGGGGTTTAGGGTTTAAGGTTTAGGCGGTTTAGGGTTTAGGGTTTCGGGTTCCATAACCATCATCCACGCACTCCTCACATCTTCACATCTCTGGCCCAAAGCCCGAAACACCTCTGGCATGTAAGGGGCGCAACACGCCGTGTGATCTTAGGGGTGCCTGCGTCGCTCTGGGGCCTTGAGCCACTGCTAGTGCTGCTGTGAGAACGATGTCGAATCTTTGGCACCCTGAACCCTAAACCCGAAACCGCTAAACCCGAAACCCGAAACCCTAAACCCTCCAAACCCCCCCTAGAACCCGGCATCATCCCAATAGAAGGCTTTGTATCTCTCAGCCCAAGTGACCCCCAAGGCTTATCAAGTTGCATGGTGCAGGTTCTGAGAGAAGATTCTGGAGGCATCACTGGCTTAGGAAGCCCTAAACCCAAAACCCTAAACCCTAAACCCCAAACCCTAAACCCTAAACCCTAAACCCTAAACCCTAAACCCTAAACCCTTAACCCTAAACCCCCGAAACCCTGCATGCTTAGAGAACGAATCTCCAAAATGGGCTCACCCTTCCGTGCCTTGCACACCATGCGGTGGGACCTACTTGGGCCTTTAGGGTTTAGGGTTTAGGGTTTAGGGTTTAGGGTTTAGGGTTTAGGGTTTAGGGTTTAGGGTTAGGGCTACGAGGGGCTTCCCAGAAAGCAGGCGCCTGCCACTTCTTCATCGGCACATCCACTACCTCAGCTGCATCAGGAAAGCTACCAAGCCCCCATGCCTAGACCGAAGTCCCTGGACCCCTAGCCTCTAACCAAATGACTCTGAACCGCCATAGGCCCCTAAAACCCTCAGCCCCAAACCCCGATTTTCTCTCTGGGAAACCATGTCTGAGAAATGGGCCCACGCGCTGCGAAATCCCTGGTCGCTTCCTTGTTTTTAGACCCTTTCCTTCGTTTCTTTCGGGCATTCCTTCAATTTGCTTGGGGGGGATAAGAACGTCATTCGTACTGCGTCCATGCCCAATGCGTTTTCGGCTCTTTGTACAACATGCTGCACAAGGATGTGGAACAAGAACATCTGTCACTAAGTGTCCATGCTTTCGCGACCGCCCAAAACACCGGTACTTGCAGCGTTTTATGCCCAAAACGCTGGTACTTACAGTGTTTCATGCCAAAAACACTGTTATTTATAGCGTTTTCGCCTCTTGTGGTACAACATACCGCACAATGATGTGGAACAAGAGAATTCGTCTCAGGCATTTACCTTGCACTAAAAAATCCAAAACATCCTGTCCCAAAAAGAATAGCTTCACTAGAAACTCCCAACCATGCTGTCCCAAAAGGAATAGATATTGAAACCCCCTAAAAACAGGTTTTCTGCTTCGTACCACGCCTGCCAACCCAAACCCTAAACCCTAAACCCTAAACCCTAAACCCTAAACCCTAAACCCTAAACCCTACACCCTAAACCCTAAACCCTAAACCCCAAACCCTAAACCCTAAACCCTAAACCCTAACTGGAGAGGACTACCCACGTGGTGCCCAGGTGCGCCAGTGAACGGTCCCTGGGTGCCTCCAAGCCTGCCCTCCACTAGGGCGATGTACTCCTGGTGCACTCAAAGAGCCCCCTAAACCCTAAACCCTAAACCCTAAACCCTAAAGCCTGAACCCTAAAACCCCTAAGGCCCCCAAACCCTAGAATTCCTGAACAAAAAGCCTCGTGAACCAACCCTTCAACCGCCCCCGAACCCTGAGCTCTTCACCCTTTTGAACCCAGGCCCTACATCCAACACCACCAGCACAAACAAGGCCTGGGTTTAGGGTTTAGGGTTTAGGGTTTAGGGTTTAGGGTTTAGGGTTTAGGGTTTAGGGTTTAGGGTTTAGGGTTAGGGTTTCTAGACATGGAACAGGTTTTGGGTCGCAAGAACGTCTTGAACGAAGTTTTGAACGAACGTGCTTTTGCTGTCGAACCTTTGGGCCGGGTCGAGCGGCAAAGCAGGTCTTCACGTCCTCTTTGCCCTCCCAAAGGCGCTTTGACTTGATGTACAAAAAAGTAAAACTCGGCTTGTCAGCTGTTTGGGCTTCTGAGCCCCATTTACCTCCAGACCTCCTGCTGCTGCTACTCAAGATATGGTTCAGGGTTTACGGTTTACCCGCGAAGAAGCCGCAAGAACACGGACTAATTGAAAAGCTCGAAGGTGCATCACGCCATCGCTTCGACCCTACCACCCGTAGCCCTAAACCCGAAAACCTAAACCCTAAACCCGAAACCCTAAACCCTGAACCCTAAACCCTAAAAAAGCCCAGAGATTAAAGGCCTTACTCGGTGAGCCGAAATCTCTCCCTCCCTGGGCGAGAGAACCCAACGATGTGCTCCTTCTGCACACGATGAGAACCTCGTGCCATGAACTATGAGGACTCAGGGTTTAGGGCTTCTGAGGAACAGCCGGCTACAACCTCAAACGCAACCTCCTACCCTACACCCGCAAGCCCGTGCACACGTAGACTACACCGGGCAGACTAACCTGAAATACTCTCCTTGCAGATTGTCTCTGCTTTCGGCTATCGAGCCCTCCTGTGCTGTGAAGTGTCAGATACCCCAAACTCTGAACCTCCAAAACTCTAAACACTAAACCCTGAGCCCTGAACCGCCATCAAGGCAGTAAGACTGGTATCCCTAAGGATGTACCCCCAAGAGGTACCCTTAATATGCTCCTAATATGGCCCTAATATTCTTTGAGAGGATCTTCAAAAAGAGTCCCCAAACCCAAGGGCGAGTCCTATGACGCTGCACCCCCGAGCACGTCAAGCCTAGGGATTTAGGGTTTATAGGGTTTATAGGGTTTATGAGTTTATAGGGTATATAGGGTGTATGGGGTTTAGGGTTCAAAAGCCTAGGCTCACAAGGCAAAGCCAACATTGTCCAAGCCGCTGTTCTGGCAGACGAAGTGGCGAAAGGCTGCCCAAGACTTGCCTGAGTCTTCGTGAGCCCACGCCGACGCTCTCGAGACACGCACGAATGGAGAGCTACTATAGGGGCCTGAATAAGTAGAATAGGCTCTTTTTTGTGGGGGGGATTATAGTATAACTATAAAGGCATCACAAGGGAATCCCCTATACTAGCTGTAACCACAACTTGGGTGCTGAGTTCGGAAAAAAGGTAAACCTTTGGGGTTTTAAGGGGTTTTAAATACCCCAACAGGTTCAAGGCAACTGGAACAATGCCGGCAGTGAGGTTTACCATGGAAACAGAAACAAGTAAGGGTGACTGGCCTTAACAATTAAAGCAGGATTTGGGGGGGGGGGGGGGTAATCTAGTATATTTATGAAGGGACCATAAGGGGATACTGTTGGTAATTATTCCGACCTATATTCGCCCAGCCCGATGGTTGACGTGCAGCTGGCTCTTTCAAATGCGAGACTCTGCGAGACCATGACATGGCGCTGCTGCTGCAAGACCTCAAGAGACGAGCCTCATCGCACATCTTGATACATCCCTTGTAAGGATGTATGAGGGTTTTACGACTCTGAGTGGTCAGACCGGAACCCTAAACCCTAAACGCCCTAAACGCCCGAAACGCCCTAAACCCTAAACCCTAAACCCTAACCCTATAACTCTCAACCCTAAACCCTAAACGCCTAAACCCTAAACCCTAAACCCTAAACCCCCTAAACCCTAAACCCTAAACCCTAAACCCTAAACCCTAAACCCAGACAACCCTAACGTAAGTATTGCAGCGCTGGTGTATCAGGCGATGGCGATCCCGCGCTGGCGAGGCTCCAGCTGGTAGCATGTCGATCCTGACAGGTCAGGTTTTTAGGGTTTAGGGTTAGGGTTTAGGGTTTAGGGTTAGGGTTTAGTGTATAGGGTTTAGGGTTTAGGGTTTAGGGTTTAGGGTTTAGGGTTTAGGGTTTAGGGTTTAGGGTTTAGGGTTTAGGGTTTAGGGTTTAGGGTTTAGGGTTTAGGTTTAGGGTTTGGGGTTTAGGGTTTAGGGTTTAGGGTTTAAGGTTCAGGGTTCAGGGTCAAGGGTCCCTATTGAACAATTTGTACATTTCGGGCAGCTAGTGCTGTAGTCATATTGGGATTATAAGAGGCTAGTGTAGGCTCTTGCATAAGTGGCGCGTCCTCGCCCGAAACAATGGCAAGGATCAGGAGCTACTGTGGCGTCGGTCTTTGTGAACACCCTATACTCTAAGCCCTGAACCTAAACCTGGCTTGCTTTCCTTTGAGGTCGTAATCCTAAACACTAAACTCGAAGCCCTAAACCCAAACCTGCCTTGTCTTCTGTTGAGGCCGTAACCCTAAGCCCTAAACTCAAAGCCCTAAACCCCAAACCTGGAGTGTCTTCCTTTGAGGTCGATCCTTGTCTTGCTACTCACCTGCCAAGAGATTGAGGGCCGCCAGTGGCGCGCCAAGAGCGTTGATTAAGGGGTTTAGGATGTAGGGCTTAGGAATTAGGGTTTAGGATGTCGGGTTTAGGGTTCAGGGTCTAGCGTTTAGGCTGCAGGGAAGTCCTAAACCTTCAGCAAATCTTTTGCGCACTTGCCGGCAAGGTGCCTCCTGTGCGCAACGTGGATGAAGTTTGTTGGCGACTCCTCCCACAAGCCGCGCTCGTCTGTGACCACAAACCTGAGCGCAAGACATCGCTGAAACGGGTGCAAAGAATGTGATATCTGCTGCGGAGTCTCACACGACCGAATCTTTTTGAAGGCTGAAAAGCTTAGCAGGCTGCTTGTAGAACGCTTTAGAGCCTATTGGCTCAATGACTTGCATGCACCTCCTTCCGCCTCAGGTGAACAGGTACGACCCTAAACCCCCCAGCAGACCTTACTGGCTCTTAAAAAGGGAATGAGGGAATTAGGCACCTTATATCCCCCTATGTCCACCTTTTCAGGGCGTCTATGGAAACCCTAAACCCTAAACCCTAAACCCTAAACCCTAAACCCTGAACCCTGAACCCTGAACCCTAAACCCGGGTGCCTGAGTCCCTCGATTCTCTGCGAGGAACCTCTAAGTGACTTGGAGACAAGTCTCATGCCCGCTGGCTTGGTAATGGCGATGAATGCGCCAGACTCGGCAACCTTCTCCGCGTCCCACCTGATCGGAGGCTTCGGAAGGTTGAGGATTTAGGGTTTAGGGTTTAAGGTTCGGGGTTCAGGGCTTAGGGTTTAGGGTTTAGGGTTTGGGGTTCAGGGCTTAGGGTTCATTTGGGCAGCTCTCCCAACCAGGGAGCCAATCTTGCAGTAGCCCTAGGTTTCAAGTTCCTTGACATAGTCTCAGCCTCCCCCAAAAGGGCTTAGGGTTTAGGGTTTAGGGATTAGGGTTTAGGGTTTAGGGTTTAGGGTTTAGGGTTAAAAAACACAAATACCACAGCTTAGAGGACTGGCAGGGTTTAGGGACCCAGGGCTGAGGTTGGGTCCACTGTGCACCCTTGGAACCTGCATTAAAAGCAGATTGGCAAAGAACAGGTGACATAACCGCAAAAGTCCCAACGCGACGTGGAAGTCTAAATAGGGCCGTGGGGTTTGGAGCTTAGGGCTTACAGGTCTTGAGAAGGCATTCCTTGTGTTACTATGGGCTCTTGTGAATCTTCTGGACCTGGATTGGCTTAGGGTTCAAAGGTTTAGGGTTTATGGTCCACAAGTTCAAGGGTTCTCGCGTTTAGCACGTAACGACTAATGTTTAGAGGTCTGTACTTATCGGACTCCACATACGGATTGTGGGTTCAAGGCTTGCTTACACCAAAAACTCTAAACCGGAAGCCCCGAACGGGTGATCATCTGATCCTGACACTAGGAACCCCACCAAAGTAAGACGAAAAAACACAAGAAATTGATGTCCTTAATTTTAATAGGTATGAGAATAGGGGGTACTATAATCCGTTTTAAGGGCTGTTAGATCCCAAAGAAAGAGACCAAAGAAACTCGCCCGCAAGCCCCTGACCCAAAGCCCGCTCAACCCATGGTACCGAAGCGAACTAACTTGTGGACTTGGTCCCACCCTAAACCCTAAACCCGAAACCCCAAACCCCAGACCCGAAACCCTAAACCCTAAACCCCCCCCCGCCCCGCCATTGCAAAGTGGGTGGAGCCCCCGCAGTCAGATTCTCCTCCGCAGTGCATGACAGGTCCTGAGCTTGCAGTGATATCGGGTTTAGGCCTTATAAACTTCATGGGCCTTGTACTATTGCTCCCCTTGGGGCCTTAATGCACAATAGTATGTTAATGTTCTTTTGGCTTTATGTAAATAAGAATAACCCTAAACCCCAAAACCCTAAACCCTAAACCCTAAACCCTAAACCCTAATTCCTAAGGGAGCTTTGGATAGGCTTCACGTACCTCCTTCCCTTAGACCCCAGATACGAGGCACTTCATCGTTCGGCGTGTGGTGGGCTTAAGGGTCTAGGGTTCCAGGAAGCCCTAAACCCTAAACCCTAAACCCCAAACCCAAAACCCTAAACCCTGAACAACCCCGAATCCTGAGCCCTAAGCCTTTCTCACAAGCAGCGGCAGCAACATGTGGAGTCTCTACAGCAACTGGCACCCCGTCGAAACGGTGCTTCAGCGACCTGAAGATGATTCAGACACTTAAGGTCTAAGTTGGTGGAGCCCATATGTCCTCAAGAAGATCGGCTTAGGGTGTAGGGTGAAAAAAAGGTTTCCGTAGGGTTTAGGGTTGAGGGTTTTAAGGGGTTTAGGGGTTTAAGGTTTAGGTCATCCCTAAGCCCTAAACCCTTAACCCTAAACCCTTCACCGCGTGCGCCGAAGGACGAAGCATAGCGACTCAGGACACTCTCGCCACCAGTAGGGGTCCTGCCCACACTGCAACACTCACAGGGAGGTTCTTCTGGTGGGTGGTCGACTTGACAGGGGCTCCCTACATTCATATCTTTAGGGTTTGGGGTCTGGGGTTTAGGGCGTAGGCTTATATATTTCAAAAAGCAGCCATGATACAGAGAACCCCCGGCGGGTGCATTCGCACCTTTGCGCAACCAAGGAGGTGTCAGGGCATTGGACATGCAAAAACAACCGTCCACCCCAGAATGTAGGGCTATAGGGCTTACGGGCTTAGGGTTTAAGGTGACAAAGGCATCCATTGCCAAGGAGAGCATCCCGTCCTCCTCCTCTTCGAAAAGCTTGTCCTCGCAAGCCTCCTTCCAAAGGGACCGCGATGCACAATCTGCCGCTACTGGGAGGTTCATGGGTACTTAGAAGTAGAGTTATAAGTAGAGTAACTATTTATAGTTATAACCTTCCTTCGAAAAACTTGTCACCCTTCCTATACGTGCCCATGAACCTTCTCAAGTACTGTCAACGAAAGGGCCCGACAGCAACAGCCCGGGGGCCTCATCTCTCTAAGGTATCCAAACATGTATCTCAAAAAACCCTAGGTCCTGAACCCCATTGAAGGCTTCCTTTGACATTCTCCCAACATTTCGCTGGCAACCACTCGGAACTTCCCCAAAGGGCCCAAACGAAGTTCCACAATTCACGGGCCAGCGCCTTCGGGTGGAATCCGTTGATTCTTAAGTCGCTAACCCCAAGCCCAAAAAATCTTAACACCAAAGCCCGAAAACCCTAGAGTCCTAAAACCCCAAAGCAAAACCCCCAAACCCTCTAACGCGTAAAACCCTAAACCCTAAAACCCTAAACCCTAAACCCTCAACCCTAAACCCGAAACCCTAAAACCCGAAACGCTTACCCTTAATCCCTGCACCCTCGCAGTCGTCATGGTGCCCCTCACTGAAAACAAAACGCAGGAACATTCGACGCCAAAGGAGTTGGAGACCCCAGGGTTGAGGGTTTTAGGGTTTTTGGGGTTTAGGTAGGGTTGAGGGTTGCTGCTTCTTCCAGAAGACCCCGAAGCCCTATACGCTAGACCCTCGACAGCCTCCTGCCAGGTCGACACGGTAAGCGCATCGAGCCCACAATCCTGCCCTCTTCGCCGCAGGCGCTCCTGGCACAATGTGGGGTTTGGGGGGTTTAGGGTTTGGGGTTTAGGGTTTAGGGTTTCGGGTGCAGGGTTTAGGGTTTAGGGTTTAGGGGGCTCAGGAGACAGGGAAGATGACCTGCGAAACCTCAAGCCCAAAAGCCTAAACACTGTACGGCCAAGTTTTTGCGTTTAGAGTTTAGGTGCTTCAGGCCCCGAAACCCGAAAGTCTTCAACGTAAAGCCTTCAGGTCTCAGAGCACTCAGCCGCAGTTCGGAGGTTCACAATTGTGATTCGGGCCGGGAACAGGGTTTTAGCATCTCGGGGGGCTTCAGGGGTTTTAAGTTTTAAGGGCCTGAGAGGACTTAGGGCACAGCATCCCTACGTTTGGAACACAGAACACTGTCTGTATGCTCAGAACTCTCCTTCTGCCGACCCACCTCAGTCCTGGTAGCCCTACATCCTAAATCCGAGAAGCACCAGAGAGCTCTCCATCAGCCAAGGAACCCGAACTTCGGAAAGCTGTCCCTGTTTCCGAAGGAGGGAGGGGGCGGGAGGTGGGTGGGCAGAGGGAAGATCCAGCCACTCTCAGGGTTGGAGCAAGGGTTTAGGGTTTAGGGTTGAGGGTTTATGGTTTCCAACTTCGAAATCCCCTCTTTCGCCCTTGTCGGGAGCCGAAGATGTGCAGCATCCGGCATCCATGAGAATGTCTGTATGTACATACACTAATCTCATCTATGATCGATTTTTTCCGAAGACGTGTCCAAAGTTCAAACACTGCTCTGTAACAAGACAAAAGCATACATCGATATTCTCAATGACTTCATCCATGCAAGACAGGTTTCAGAGTTTCGGGTTTACGGGGCGAGTCAGGGCATGTCCGGGCTACACACCAGTAGCCGAGATCTGTGCAGTGCATGGGGTTCGGGCGTTTTCGGGGTTTCGGATTTAGGAATAGGGCTTAGGGCTTGGGGCTTAGGGCTTTCGGTTAGGGCTTCCACAGAAATTCAAGCATAGCAAGCTGGGGTGGTAGAGCTGAGGCGTGACCACGTGCAAGCTGAAAAACAGAGGTGTGGACGGACTGTCTCCAGTACCCTGCACCCTAATTACCCTACGCCCTAAACCCTAAACCCTAAACCACACCCTCAACGATAAAGTTTGCAGAACCACATCCCTGAATCTACAGCCAGGCGTGCCAACGCCGGCAGGTTGGGGAACGTTGTCTGCAGAAACGCTGCCTGGTCCTCCCGCGCTGTGGCGATCTTTAGGGCTCCAAAGGGCCAGTCGTGTAACTTCGGATGTTCCCCCGACATCCCCATCCTAAAACCCGAATGTACGGAACCCGGCCAGATCGCGCAATGACATCAGGTGTCTTTCTACGTCTCTCCGTGACTCTGGGTTTTGTCAGAAACCTCGTAAGCGGGGGGGGGGGGGGGGGGGGGGGGGGGGGCCCCCCCTGAACTCATAAACCCTTCAGCCCTTAAGACCTGAGATCACTCCACAAACCCTAAACCCAAACATAAACCTCCGACCTTGCGCCGGAAGAACAGAAGCCTTTCGTTCAAGAACCCTGAGGCCCTAAACTGAGTTGTAGGGTTTAGGGATGGGAGTTTAGGGGCAGGGTTCAGGGTCCAGGGTTTGGGGCGTCAGGGCTTAATCGGGTTGAGGGCAGTGTGGGTGCTGTCTGGGAAGGCTTTGTGGGTTTTGTGGGCGGGGTGGTACCCTAGCAAAACCCGAAACCCAAGACACTTATCCTCGACCCTATATAAGCCTTCATCCCCAAACCCTAATCTACGTAGAGGCCTTACCCGCGACCCCAAACCCCACACCCTTAAATCCTGAGCCCTTACGCGAAACAATGCCAAACAACGCCATAAACACCCGAAAGTCTTTATTGTCCCTAAAGCCCGAAGCCTCAATCCATGAGGAACTGGAGTCCTTGAAGTGGGTGTCACCCAGCCTGGCCAGTGAATCAGGAGCCGCGAAACCCCAGAACCCGAGATTCGAGCGCTCAGTGGGGCTTATGGCGTTGCTTTTGGTTTTAGCTTTTCTTTTGTCGGCAAAAGCCCCAAAGCCCGAATCTTGAAATCTCGCCGGCCGCGCTGGCGAAGCTCCTCATCGCTTATGCCGAGCCTTAGGGGCTTAGGTCTCAGGAAAAGAATGGCTAGGGTTTAAGGTTAGGGTTTAGGGTTTAGGGTTTCGTGCTTAGGGTTGAGGGTTTGGGGCTGTAGGGTGGTTTAGGGTTTGGGGTGTAGGGTTTTGGGGTTTGGGGTTAGGGTTTATTGAGCTTGCTTTGTGTGCAGGGTTCGGTTTGGGAGAAGGGTAAAAACTTTATTGTTAAAACCTCTTTGAACTTTGTTTTCGTAGCCACTCAGCGACTAAGCAGCTCCCCAACCAGTCGCTGCAGGCCGCGATGAACTCCTCAGGAAGTGTGGAGGCTTCTTGTTCGGCTGGAAGGTTTAGGGTTTAGGGTTTAGGGTTGAGGGTTAGAGTTTAAGGTTCAGGGTCTTGAGTTCAGGGATTTTGGGCCAGGCCCCGCAACTACTGTGGAGCTATACAGTGGGGTTGCGGAGCTTTGCGGGGGCTTAGGGGGCTTGTTTTGTTTGGTTTCAACCCTCGTCAAGTGACCCACTATGAGGGTTTACCTTATTCAAAGGTACTGGGGTCGGAGTGTCGCGGGAGAAGGCAAGGGCTCAGGGTTCAGGGTTTAGGGTAATTATAAGGCGTCGCAGCAGGACATGCCATGCGGTACTGAAGCCCCCGGGGGAGTGGGGGGTGGGGGTGTATATGACATGCGGTCATGGCACATGGCGGATGCCACCAGCAACCAAAAAGCATACATTGGCATCACTGAACCCTCAACCCTAGACCCTAAACCCCTGTCTTCATCACACCCACTGTAAGCATTCACAGGCCACCACACAAACCAGCACCTCTTTGGGGCTTCGAAGTTTGCATGGTCCGGGCACCACCCTACAAGAGGCCGAAGCGAGTGGGAATTTAGGATTCAGGGTGATGGGGCTCAGGGATTAGGGTTTCGGCTATGGGGCTTAGGGCTTAGGGGTTTCTCTGTTGGCTATATCGGCGGGTGTCATTTGTGGTGCCCTTTTATCGACACGGGTATATGTTTCCCAAAATCAGGGTACTCCGTTTATACCCAAGCAGAAAAGAATCCCCTTGAAGGGACCCAAGGTGCCATTTTTTGGGGAAAACCCCCACATGACGACTACCATCCTTCCAATGCTCTGCCGAGGCATCCCCGGGGGTTTGAGTACATAGGGTCTAGGGCTCAGGGTTGCATCCTGTTGCAGCTGGTGTACCGGAACGAAATCGGCCTAAACCCTAGACCCGAAATCCTAAATCCTAAACCCTGAACCCTAAACCCTAAACCCTGAACCTTAAAACCTAAACACTAAACCCTAAAGCACAAGAGGAGACCAACGAGGAGGTCATTTGCAAGAGCGTTGCAGACCTGTAAAGACATTCAACACTCCAAGAAGTCCAAACACCGAGACCAAGGGCTGGCGAAGGGTTTAGAGTTTAGGGCTATGGTTTTAGGGTTTAGGGTTTAGGGCTATGGTTTTAGGGCTTGGGGTTTCGGGCTCCGAACGCCCTAAACTTAATGTCAACAACTAGAATGCAGCACAAGGGGCACTTCATCACCCCTGGGCCCCTGAGAAACCATTTCTATTACTATTACTATTACTATTACTCTTACTCTTACTATAACTATAGCTAGTAGTATTAGAATTAGTATCAGTGTTACTATTATTGCTATTACTGCTACAATTACTATTACTACTATTGCCGCCAATGGAAAACTCACATCTCAACGCCAAACGGTTCCTAAACCTCCTTTGTCCAACCCTAAACCCTGAACCCTAAACCCTTAAGCTGTCCAAGCATCGCCTAGTGATGAAGTCAGCCCGCCACTGCTCCGTCGTCAGCTCTGGCTCATGTCCTGCCCCTCAACCCGAACCCAAAACCTAAAACCCTGTTTAGGGTTTACGGTTTAGGGTTTAGAGTTTAGGGTTTAGGGTGTACGGTTTAGGGTTAAGCTCTAACAACAACCCTGAGCCCTAAACCCCGAAGGCGTTACGTCTTCGAGGCTTTCCTTCTCACTCTCTTGCGTGCAGCAAGCTTAGCAAACATGTCCCCGGAACACGGTTTAGGGTTTAGGGTTTAGGGTTTAGGATCTAGGGTTTAAATTTAGGTTTTAGGGTTTGGGGTTGGGGCATGAAACGCACGCGTCCTGCCATGCCAGTCCGCCAGCAGGGAGTCCCGGGATGCCGCCCGTGCTCAAGTCTTAAATTTTGGAGGTTTGGGGTTTAGATGTGAGAGCTTAGGGTTTTAGGGTTTGGGGTTTAGGGCTGAGAGTTTCGGGTATAGGGGTTTGGGGCTCAGGGCTGGCAGGCTAGGGCTCAGGGGATTTGGTGAGCTGTTTAGGGTTTAGGGTTTAGGGTCTAGGGTTAGGGTTTAGTGTTTAGGGTTTAGGGTTTTTGGGTTTCGGGTTTATAGGGTTTAGGGTTGCGGGTGTAGGGTTTGGGGTTTAGGGTTTAGGGCTTAGGGTTTAGGAATACGCTTTTACATTCGGTCCGCTTGGACTCGACATGAGCCATGGGTGGCTACGTCCATTTCACGAGCGATGTAGGGTTAAGGGTTTACAGCTTGTAGGGATTAGGGTTTAGGGTTTAGGGCGAGTCTAGGGTTTCTGCGCAAAAGACACAGGGCAATGTTTGGGGGCTTCGAGCAGTTAGGGGTGCAGCATGGTTATCGTTTCTCAAGGATAATGCGCATTGTCCCATTAACCGCAAGACTCACAAGCAGATAAGGTCTTATTGTATTCTTGTCCAATGCAACTGGGCATCACATCCCTGCTACAACAAGTATTGTTCTTCAGGGTGTTTGAGGCGTTGCAGGTCTCGTAAGCAGAAATGATATAGCATGCTACGGGACCTGTGCTGTTAAGTCTTAAAATAGCGGGCGTTTAGGGTGGTTTAGAGTTCAAGGGGTACGGCTTAGGGTTTAGGGTTTAGGGTTTAATTAGGGTTACTATAAACCCTAAACCCTAAACCCTAAATCCTAAACCCTAAACCCTAAACTGGGCGCGTTCCGGGATGCCTTTTCCGCTGCAACCTTGGGATTTTCTCTGTCGCCTGCAGCCCTGAGCACCTACACCTACACGCTTAATTTTCTGGATCTTCAGAGAGACTTAGGGAATCAGGGTCCATTTTCAGTCCTTCGAAGGGTTCCATAAGGGGATATAAGGCAAGCCTCTCTCTCCTTTTTTTTTTTTTCTCTCTCTCTCTCTCCCTCTCTCTATCTCACAGCTTGTAAGTTAACCGCAAACCACACGAAGTTCTTTGTCGGGGTCTGGCCAGTTCGCATGCCAAGAACTTCATTCACATGCTTCACCAAGTCTTTTCCTTGGTGATCGCCAAGTGTGTGCTTCAGGAGTGGAGCTCAGAATACACCCTGAACCCTGAACCCTGAACCCTGAACCCTGAACCCTGAACCCTGAACCCTGAACCCTGAACCCTGAACCCTAAACCCTAAACCCTAAACCCTAAACCCTAAACCCTAAACCCTAACCCTAAACCCTAAACCCTAGACAACTCTAATGCCTACGCGTTAGGGCCTGTGGGTGCCAGCATCGGGCTTCATGGTCTCCTGCAATTGCAGCACTTGGCTGTGACACCCGGAGCGAGGTGTGGCGCAGGACCCATCACACTCAGCTTACGATCCATGTCATGCTTGGGCTTCCGGTCGCCCCTAAGCTGGTAAGCACCAGGCACAAAAAACAGAACCCTAAACCCTAAACCCTGAAGCCCTAAGCCCTACACCCTAAAGGGCTGCGTTGTTTCCTTTGATGTCCGGTGCCACACCCACGAATCTCCTCATGTGCGCATCCTAGCCGCCATCCTGAGACAATCGGCTTCGGAGTCCTCGGCGGCTCATGGGAAGTAGGATCCCCTTTTCAAGGGGGGGTTAGGGTTTAGGGTTTAGGGTTTAGGTTTTGGGGTTTAGGGTTTAGGGTTTAGGGTTTAGGGTTTGGGTTTAGGGTTATCCAGCCGCAAAGCCCAAAGAACCTAGGCCCAAACCAACGTTTAGGGTTTAAACTAACCCCGGACCCCAACAACCCCAACCTAAAAACCAAAATCCTGAAGCCGCTAAACCCCAAACCCAAAGCATCAACGAACAACCGAACCTCAGATGCAATGAAAGGAAAAGGAATTGACTTGCTGTTTTCAAAAAAACTTTCTAACAGAGAATAACAGAGAATATCCACATATGACAGAGAAGAAAAGAAAAGAACAATACATAACAGGGGAAAAGAAAAATAACACTACATAACCGCGAATCAAAGAAAACAACAATACTTAACAGATAAGATAAAGAACACTTTATCTCCGAGACCCTATACCCTAAACCCTAAACCCTAAACCCAAGAAAAGCAACCTGGAACCCAAGCTTGGGGCGACGCGGGTGAGACGAAGGGCTCCAGCAGCCCTCACCTGGACGGGGGGCGGGAGGGGGTTCTGCTGCGTGTCGCAGGAGGCAAAGCCCAAAAGGGTTCAGGGTTCAGGGTTCAGGGTGTAGTGTTTAGGGTTTAAAGGTTTAATTAAAGTTTAGGGTTTAAAGCTTAGGGTTTAGGGTTCAGGCCTTAGCGTTTAGCGAGGGTTTTGGGGATTTCGCAGTACTTGACTGGGGATCCCGCCCCATCTTGTACAGCAGGATGGCCAAGGGCGGCAGGTAGAAGAACATGGACGTCTTCGCCTACACCCGGGCGCAAGTGGCAAGTCGATGCATGACTCAAAAGGGCGGATGCCGCCGAGTGGCCTGGAGGTTAGGCCTGGGGGCTTGGTGTTTAGGCCTTTGGGTATAGACAGTAGAGTGGCAGCACCACGAGTCGGGCTGGCAACGGCTGGTACCTCAAGGGTCTTTTTGCTGACGAGGGTAAGAGGAACAAGTACATGGAAGATTGATGAGGATCAAGGGCTGCTGCACAAGGCCATCAACACACGGATGAGGGTTGAGGCTTTGAGCTTCAAGGCTTCAGGGTTCAGGGCAACCATCTCTTTTTCAGGTGGCGGCCAGTCCCCGCAGGGCGAGCGGCAAGTGGAGGCGCTTCCCCGTGACTCAAACACCCCTCCGGGAACAGTAACCTCGCGAACCTTGAGCCTAGAGCCTAGAACCCCTAAACACCCTGAAAACCCTAAACACCGTAAAAAAACACCCTAAACACCCTAAACCCTGCAACCCCAAACCCTGCACCACCCGAGATCCTCGTAGGTGGCGTGGGTTGCAAAGCCCTTGCCAACGATGCAGTGCCAGTTTGGCCCATACCTCAGCAGCACGACAAACTAAACAATAAAGTATTGCCCTAAGGCCGTAAAACCCTGCAACCCTGCAAACCCTGAACCCTATACCTAACCAATACATGATCGTCCTGGAACTCCCAAAACCAAAACCCTCAACCCCAAAACCGAACCACCGAATTCTAAGATCCCATGACCGCGCCCTACGTAGTTCAGGGGACCAAAGCCGTCATGCAGAAAAAAACCGCTTCTTAACACCCCAAGCCCCGGGACCTTGATGCTCAACTTTGGGGACCCCCAGGAGCTTAGGGGCTGAGGGTTTAGGGGCTTCGGGTGTAGGGGTTTAGGGGTTAAAGGGTTTAGGGTTTACGGCACCCGGTCTGGAAGTGTCTCATCCTCATCATTCGCCTCAAACTCCATGAAATTCCTGACCAACTGACGGAGTTCCAGTTTCCCATGGATCCTGTCTGGAATGCTTAGGCTGAGGTCCAGGAATGGTTCCAACTCCGTCAGGGCAGCCTGCTCATACGATGACCAGTAACCACTGCGGGTGGTCCTCTAGTGAGGCGTCTCGCTTCATCGGCGGACATGTTAGGGTTTAGAATTTCAAGTACCTGAATACTCAAACCTATAAACCATCATAAACCCTATAGGCCCAGCCTTGAGGACGAAATGAACCCTAAGAAAAGGGTAGTATTCTGGATGTACGTGGGATTCCACAAGCAATCCCTAGCCTGCGCTGCTGAGGAACCAGATACAAAAACTAAAAGCTGAAGTTCTAAACCGATACCTCATATTCCCCGATGTGACCCCGTACGGAGAGAACCGAAGTCTCCATAAGTCCCCACTGATGAAGAACCAGTACCCCTAAACCCTAAGCCTAAACACTAAACCCTAAAACGCTAAAACCCTAAACCCTAAACCCTAAACCCCAAACCCTAAACCCTAGAATCCCAAGAAGTCCAAGGCTTCCAGGAGGACTGGGGGACCGAACTTTCCATCGAAGAAGGCCTTGATGTGCCGCGAGATGTCCTCTCGAGAGTTGGGTTGCGGGTATGAAGTGCTTGGGTTTAGGGTTTAGGGTTTAGGGTTTAGGGTTTAGGGTTCAGGGTTCAGGGTTCAGGGTTCAGGGTTCAGGGTTCATGACTGTACTTATAACCCGCTTTTTGGCCCCTTAAGTGCCCTAATATGGTTGTATGCACAGCTATAAGTAAAGTTCTAACTGCTTATTAAGTACCATGAAGCTCCAAGTAGAGACTTTGCTTCTAGTATCTCCAAAAGGACACCCCCCCAACACCCTCACCAATATTGAAAAGGAACCTGAAATACAACCGCCAGTAACAGCAATATGCCTCAATCCTGAACCCTAAACCCCAAACCCTTGACCCTTATAGTAACCTTAAACCCTAAACCCTGAATTCTAAACCCTAAACCCTACTTCCGGCTTCAGTTCTTCAGGAGGGTTTGGGGGGCCGGGGGGGGGGTGGCTGGGCACAGTGCTCAGACGCAGGTTCCAGGGTTTGCTTCAGGCTTCAAAGTTCCTCCACACGTAACACGTCAAGTGTTGGGTTTGGGGTTGACAGGTTTTATAGGGTTTATAGGGTTTATAGGGTTTATAGGATGTATGGGGTTTATAGGGTTTATAGGGTGTTTCGGTTTTAGGGTTTAGGGTTGTGGCCTTTTTGCAATGAGCATGCCTGAGCTCCCTAGTCGCTGTACTTTGCAGTTCGAAGGCAGTGAAGCCAAACAGGAAGAGTTGGGACTTGCAGCTCCGTGCAGCCGCATCAATTTAACTTCTAGGTTTTTTTTTAACGTACAAGTATAAGTACCATAAGTTTAACTTTCAAAAGAGAAAATACCCCCCCCCCCCCAGCAATTGCCAAGAGAGGCCGAAGGCTGGAGTGGGGCGGCGATCTCAGGATTTTATTCCCTAGAACCCC